AATGGAGTAGCAATAAAAATTATTATAGGATAAACACACAGAGTGCACAAACACACAAAACACACATTAACATTAAGAAACAAAAAAAAAGAAGAGAATCCCAACAGGTGAAAGATGAGTTAGACTGTAGTGTGGATGTATGCAAAATAAGAAAAAGAAAACAAAGGATGACCTGACTCACACCACACCACCACCACACAATCAGCACACAAGAATACAGGTCAGTGTAACTAGAATCAGTAGTGGTACACGCACCCACACAGAACTGCTGATACTGCTGCTGCTGTCTGCATCACCCTTCTTGTTGTTTATGAGTTCAGGAGGAAGTGTTGTTGTTGTTGTTGTTGTTGTGGTGGTGGTGGTGGTGGTGGTTGATTCCTCATTACTGATTGTATTGGGAGACTCAGTGTTCGTGTTCGCTGAGTTATTGGTATCACTGGTATTTTCCGTAGCTGAAGTAGTGGGAGATGCAGAAGAAGGTTGTTTTACCGGAGTCTCTTGAGGTTCTGTGTTGCTCCTCTCTGCATCGTTTGTACCATTCTGCACCTGAGAACTCTGTGAGGTTTCAGGTGACTGTTCCTGATCCGTGTTTTGGGAGATGTGTGTACTGTCAGAGTTCACTGTATTTATTTGATTGGCAGGTGGTTCGTGGACGCTATCGTTATCTGTCGATTCACTGTTTGCTTTCGTTTCCTTGTTTGGCGGGCTCTCTACCTTTTCCACTTTCTCTGCATTCTCAAGTTCAACTCTGCCTACTGAAACTGTTGAAGAAGAGGAGGAAGATAAAGCAGAGGCATCCGACCGGTTATTTTCTCCAGTTAGCACTGAGGTAGAAGATAGAAGTTGAGAAGAAGGGAGATTATCTCCTCCTAAATGGGGTGCTTGATGATCAGTTTGAAGATTATGTTGACCTTCACCACCCAGAGGAGTTGCTTCTTCAGCCATTGTTCCTAATTCATGACTATCAACTATATCCTCCGTCTCTTCTTTATCATCTCTATGTGTAGGAGCACCAGTTGTTTCTTGTAAACCCGGTCTCTGTAATTCTGCTTGTGTTTCCTCAAGTGGAACACCGGGTTGACCACCTCCTTTAGCAGCACTACCACCCAGTGGGAGGTCAACGCTCTCTTCAGAAACAAGATCACCAGCCAACACTAGACTGCAGGAAAAGCAAAATAAAAGAACCAAAATACACGACACACGGCGCATCATCATCATCATAACGGCCATTATCACTCTTCGTCTTGTTGTTGTTACTTGAACTCAACAGGTCTAATGCTTGGAATGCGGAAAACAAAAACGAACAAGTAGAGAGAAAAGAGAGACACTAAGTCAATGGATGTAGGGCAAAAATACTCATAGT